CTATTCTATTCTATTCTATTCTATTCTATTCTATTCTATTCTATTATCTAATTCTTATTCTATTCTATTCTATTATCTAACTCTTATTCTATTCTACTCCATTCTCTAACTTCTATTCTATTCTATTCTATTCTATTCTATTCTATCCTATCCTATCCTATCCTATCCTATCCTATCCTATCCTATCCTATCCTATCCTATCGAGTCTAAGCCAACGGCAGCAGGGACAGGAACACTCCCTCCGGTTGTGCAGGCCAGACTGAACGTTTTAAAAGAAAATAGTTACTGAACCACAACTCACAAAACACAAATCCAGATGTAGAACCCAGAACCTGATCAGAACTCTCCAACGGACTGAAGTGAAAACAATACTCCCCAAAGAGACAGACAGGTTGTGCTCTGAGCTGAAAGTGTTTGAAAGGTTCACTTGTAGCTCACAATCATAGGAGGGGAGAAAGATTTGCACAACTCTGCTGTACTCCTGAAATATCTGAAGTCCCGGGGAATGTAACTGGACAAAATGCACAACACAGATGATGGTACAACTAAAAGTAAAGGTAAAGTTCCTACGTGCTAGTCGTTCCCCACTCTAGGGGGCGGTGCTCATCTCCGTTTCAAAGCCAAAGAGCCAGCGCTGTCCAAAGACATCTCCGTGGTCATGTGGTCAGCATGACTAAACGCCGAAGCCACACGGAAGGCAGTTAACCTTCCCACCAAAGGTGGTTCCTATTTTTCTACTTGCATTTTTTACATGTTTTCAAACTGCTAAGTTGGCAGAAGCTGGGACAAGTCACGGGAGCTCACTCCTTTATGCGGCGCTAGGGATTTGAACCGCCAAACTACCAACTTTTCTGATCGACAAGCTCATAGCCACTGAGCCACCGAGTCCAAGGTACATCTACTCCCTTTCAAACTTCCTAGTCCGTTTTCTTGCTCTGAAGGCCTCCAAGAACAGGTCTGCTATCACATCTTTCCTTGGGTGATGGTTCATTCATTCATTCATTTACTTACTTATTTATTCTCTGCTCTCAACAAATCTGGATGTTCACAATGATCAAATGGAGACAATCCAATCAATAAAACTTAAAAGAGAAACATGGAAAATTGATGAAGTGGGGGGGGGTCTCCCCTTGGTGTAGAAGGACCAAGGAACTACCAACTCAATAAACAAAAGCCTAATCAAACAGCCACCAAGGACGCTCCAGTCAATATTGACAGGGAAAGCCATTTTTATATAAACAGACAGCAAATCCCATTTCCTTCAAAGCACTGATGATGTTACCTAGCTGGGTCATGAAATGTCTACAAGAAAACAGTCAAGTTCAGAGAGCACCAAGGACTCCCTAGTTCAACCCCGAGGTACAAATAGTCTCTTCTATTGGCATTTACATACAAACAGAGAGCAAATCCCACTCCCTCCTAGGACGGGTGATGTTACCTAGTTGGGTCATGAAATGTCTTCAGCAAGGAAACAAGTTCCAAGGAGCCTACAGTTCAACCCTGAGTTGCAAATGTTCTCTTCTCTTGGAACCAGGTCTTAATGGCTCTTCTCGATAACAGCAGAATGGGGGCCTTCTGGACTTATGGGGAACTGAGACAATGTTTCTGCCCATCGAAGTTCTATGGGGCAAGGAATCCACCAGGATCTTCTCGTTGGTCCCATTTCTACCTTCTCACCTCTTTGCCTTCCAGGTAGATGGAGCCCAATCGCAGGTACACCGTGTGCATATCCTTCGCGTCCGTCACAAAACTGATGGTGCGTTCATAGCAGGACTTTGCTTCACTGAAATTCCCGGTCAAATAGCAGAGATGGCCTTTTTGTGCCCAAACCTCTGGATTCTAGAGAGGTTGCAGAGAAAGCAAGGGGTTAATCATGACCTGTAGAAGCTGGCAACAAATCATAGGATGATAAGGCTGGAAAGGACCTTGGAGATCTTCTAGTCCAACCCTCTGGTCAAGGCAGGAGGCCTTATATCAACCTGGTGGAATCAATACTTTTTCCCTTAAAAGCTAAGTAGGTACTGGGGATGTGAGTCGAAAATTCTGAAATAATTAATATTTAATTAAATAATTAAGATTTTTGGGGATGTTGACAAAGGAAAGCTCATACTATCCAAGAGACAGGATAATTCTAGAATTGTAACACACTAGATGGGAAGATGCTCTAGAATAAAACTGGTCCATCTGCCTCTCTGAGTTGGAACATATCTAACCATCCTGAGCAGAATGGCTGTGAAACTAAAGAGTTTAGGCTTCCTCCTCCTAGCTTAAAATCACTACTAATGTTAGCCTCCCTAGATGTCTATGCAGATTCTCAGTCATCCAGGTCATCTTGGATGAGAAGCAAAATGACTTCAAGGAAAAAATGAAATTCAACTGCCTTTTGAGGAAAAAAAGCACTTTGAGACAACCATGACCTGGATGACTGAGAATCTCCATAGATATCTATGGAGGCTAATATTAATAGTGATTTTAAGCTAGGATGAGGAAGCCTAAACTCTTCAGTTTCACAGCATTTCTGCTCAGGATGGCTACAACGAGGACAGCAGAACCAGCTACCTCTAGTGTTCCCAATCTTGCCAACTTTAAGATACACGGATTTCAACTCCTAGAATTCCCCAAATGGCTGGCTGGGGAATTCTGGAAATTGAAGTCAACAAAATTGGAAAGCTTGAGAAAGACTGCTCTAGTGACTTCCTGGCAATTGGCCTCCCAATCATTTCCCCACAACTTTGCTCAAAACTGGGGTGTCCCTTACCCACTAGCATAAAGGGGGCTGATTGGTAGAGTAGGGAAGTAGTAGTTCCTAGCAGTTCTGCAGATTGCTGTTTTGCCACTGGGGGCCTCACTTATGTTTATGCCTAGATATCATATCTGTGTGTGTGTGTGTGTGTGTGTAGGTGGGTGAGAATAGAGTAGAGTAGAGTAGAGTAGAATAGAACAGAACATTGGAATGAAGACTAGAATAGAACAAAGAATCAGGAATAGAATAGAATAGAATATTGGAATGAAATGGATGGAATGGAATAGGACAGGACAGGACAGAATTCTTTATTGGCCAAGTGTGATTGGACACACAAGGAATTTGTCTTCGGTGCATAAGCTCTCAGTGAATATAAAAACCATAAATGATGCCACCATACATTCAAATATAGGCACTGAGGGCACCATGGATGTGTGACCTGTCAAATGTGCGCCTGACAAAAGCGCGCCGACAAAACCGCGGTGAGAAAACCGCAAGGTCGAAAGTGCTCCCACAAAAGAGCGCCGACAAATCCGTGCCCACAAAAGCGCGATTAGGGTTAAGGTAAGCGTTAGGGTTAGGGTTAGGGTTAGTGTTAGGGTTAGTGTTAGGGTTATTATGTTGTTTTCACGTTGTTTGTTGATGGCGCGCTTTCGTCGGCACGCATTTATCGGCGTGCTTCTGTGGGCACAATTTCGACCTCACTGTTTTGTCGGCGCGCTTTTGTCGAGCGCGCATTTGTCAGTGAACCCATGGATGTAGGGTAGAAAACAACCTGCAATCGTTGCAGTGTGATGAAAGGAAAGAATAAATATATGGCATCCCTGAGCTGATATGTTCTGTTTGGGAGCTTGAATATTACAGAGAAATTTTCTAATGTTTGTAAACTGCCCAGAGCTGCCTCTGGATGAGGAGGGCGGCACACAAATCTAATCTAATCAAATCAAATCAATCAATCAAGTTACTCTAGTTCGGTAATTAGAGAGTCCCAAAGTGCTAATGAGAGGTACACACCAGGTAATCAATCTGCAATGCCATTTCCAAGCTCTCTTCTGACTGCTCATATTCCTTCTTGAGCATATACGTCTGGGCCAGCACCAAGTAATAATCACAGCTGGGACCTCCTTGCGGGGAGATCAACTCATGCGCCAGCGCCCTGTGAACAAACTGGAAAGAGAGAGCCAACCCTTGGCTGCGTCATTGCTGCACGACCATTGAAATCCCCCTAGTGTCCTCCCTTGCTGCTCTTAGTCTTTGTTTTCCTACTCCTAGGAGTATCCTAGGGGCTGCCTCTTGCCCTATTGATGGGAGCAGGAGAGGGAGGCCTCCCTGAGCAATGTTTTCGGCAGCTAGGAGTTTCTTGGATTAACGTTTCTAGTTCTTTAAACTAATAAAGCAATTTCTTCATCACAAATGCAGAGTCTGGAAAGAACTGATTCAAATCTGCTAAAAACACAGACTGCGCCAAGACTGATTAATTTGCCAACTTATTATGCTTCATTCATCTTCTTTTAATGACCTCATAATCCCTTGCGCAGTGGAGTCTGGGCAACTAAAATGAGCTAAGTGTTTAATGGCCGGATGCCCTTACCTCTCACCAATACGGAGTTTTTTTTTACCAGAAGATACATTCTCATTGTGTCCAGAGAGAGAAATATCTGCCTCTACCTAGTATCAAACTCACAGCCCCCCTGATTGTGAGGTGAGAGCTCAATCTCTAGGCCACTGCCCAACTGAAACTTATTATGCTTCATTGTAATGCTCACTCAGTTAGGCAGCACTAAGGATTCGAACTGCCGAACTGCCAACGACAAGCTCTGTGTCTTAGCCACTGCATCCCTGTTTTCTCTAGAGTAGCCAGACCCAAATCCTGCAACCATCTTTCATAGGTTTTAGTCTCTGGGCCTTTAAATCATCTTAGTTGCTCTTTTCTGCACTTTTTCCAGGGTCTTAACACCATTTTTGTAACATGCTGACCAAAACTGGATGTAAGTATTCTTTTTTTTTTCATTAGTGTCATAAAACAGCTTGAGGAACCCGCTGCCTGTCCCCAGGATGCCTTCGCTCTGTCTGCAGTCCAGACGGTGATTTGCTGAGCCCAGGCGACAGAGCAGAGAAGAGAGTGGAGAGATTCAGAGCAATATATCAGTGCGGTGGCAGCTTTTTCTGGCTGCACAGCAAGCTCTCGGTTCTACCCAGTTTCATTGCTAGGGAAAAGGCTTTTAGAGAGAAAAGGGAAATAACTATGATGAAGCTGAGAGAAAGGGAAAAGGGATTGATATTCGAGAAGTAATGGCAATTAGCTACGTAATTTAGAAAGATTACTGCTGGCCCGACAAATGTTGAAAAATCATATCCAGGTTCTGGTGCCGGAAATAGATAGATAGGTAGGTAGGTAGATAGATCAGTGACGTGCGGTAAGCTTTACGGCTGGTGAGGCAGCTTTTTAGACTTGTGGACTTCAACTCCCAGAATTCCACAGTCAGGCATGCTCAGTTCCGATTTAAAGCGACAGCATTTTTCCCCCTTGCAAAATAAGTTTTCCCATTCTTTTTCTTCTCCCTCCCCCTCCTCCCTCCCTCTCCCCTCTCTCAAACTGACACACACACACACACACAC